CCAACCCTGTGTGCTTGGGTGCTGAGTCCTTAGTCTTCCAATATATTCGAATTGGTAGCAGTGACTCTGGAATGCAAGTTAATTGAATTGTACTTATGTTTCCTTCAAGGAAGGTTCATCCCCCCCCCCCCCCTTATATTTGGTCTGTGTGGCTTTGTTATAGACTTTCGTAACTAGGGATGCTAGGTGTGGGTCTCTGTTGCTGTATCAGAGGCCTAGCAAACAGTAGCAGAAACAGAGGAGACCAGGAAGAAGGACGCAGGCCCCTCCCTCTTTCTCTTTTATGTAAATGATTTCACAGGGCAAAGGATTTGGCTGCACCGATCTGTTTTTTTTTTCTAAAGCAATTGACTCCCTTCTCTGCCTATAAGTCAATAAATCATTAGCAAATCCTCTTTAGATGTTGTTGTATTGGTTCTTGTGTGTGTTCATTTCAGAGACATAATCTTAGAAGTAATTGTAGCTTGGTTGTTCCAAAGAACCCATCTTCCCTTACCTTTGCTGTGTAGGTAGGCGGTGATGTCTCCACAAGTTGGAGCCAGGAGTTTTGGTTGTATGCAGATCAACCCTTTAAGCATCCAGCATGCCTGGCTCTTTCAGGAGAGAATCACACACTTCCTGGCCTCAATGAACAGAGCACACTGGGCTTTGCCCATTCTGCAGCATGCACCATTGTTACCAATAGAGATCACATCATTCAAGACAACGTCAAATAGGTAGACTTCAACTAAAACAAAACAAACCAAACCGAAAGCTCAGGCGCGTAAAACAGTTTTCTAAAGCAATACAGATACTTTAATTTAAATCCACAGCTGTACTTCTCCAAGATCACTTTTTTGATATGTCAAAAGTATTGCAAATAGTTTATTTTTGGTTTGAACTTGCCCCCCCGTCCCCTACACACAAAATTCAAGCTGGGTATTAGGTGAGTTTTGAGAATTACTTTTTTCATCATCAACTTTTCATTCTTTTAACTATGAAAGTGTTCAGGAGTGGAGTCACTTGACTCTTTGAGGGGCAGCTTGCACAGGACCAGTCAAGCTGCTTGAAATAGCCAGGTTTTCCCAGCTCTTCCCTGAGTCAGCCACTGTGCGCTGTCACTGTGGGTTGCTCCACGGAATGAGGCAGTGGTGTGGTTAGTGACAGGGATGAGGACAGCAGATGACCTCAGGCTGAACTCTGACACAGAGCTGCAGAATCTGCTTCCAGCCCCTGGCTGTCTTCACACCTGGAGGGTGGATGAGGTCCCTGTGCCCTGAGCGTTTGAAGGATGATAAATCTCTGGAATAGACTACATTATACCAACAGGAAGTGATCAGAAAGAAGTATGATGAGTGTTCACAGGAATCATAGGGAATTTATACACATGTGATCCATCTTTAAAATTCACAAAATAATATAAATGTATGCTTGTTCTATTCTTGCTTATTGGTCAACATAATATTATAGAATCATAAGCAATTTATTTTAATTTTTAAGTGGTTAGTACATAAAAAGAACTAGAAAGAATGGTTATTAAATTTTCAGTATGGTTATAATGAAATCTATAGTGTCTTGATACATCAAATGAAACCTGTCCAATTTCTAAGACCCAGCCCACCCAAACGCCATCGTGTATCAGTTTAGTCCACTTTTTTACTGCTATAACAAGATCTATAAGACCGGATCCTTTGTAAGAAGTTTGTTTTGGTCCATAATTCTGGAGGCTTGGAAGTCCAAAAGCATGGTCCTGGGTAAGGGTCATGTTCTGCTCCACCTCTTGTGGGAAGCAGGGAGCAGGCATGTGTGAGAGAAGGAGACATAAGAGCAGCCTCTTTGTATAACTGCCTGTTTAGTTTCTCAATCTAGGCCCATGTGCGAGTGTGAAGCTGGGCATTCTCTCCACATCCTGCATATTTCCTTTATTCTGTCCACCTTCATGTGTATTCACTGGCCTCTAGAAAGCTGCTCTCTTTTTATCTGGCACTTGCCAAAGGTAATTTGCATGCCATCATACGACGATGGTTTTGCAGCCACAGTAGAGAGTTGAGGATGTCACTGGAGGAGGCCTTATGTCTCTAGAAAAATCTCAAAACCATGTCAATGGTCTGGAAAACCTTTTTTCTCTTTTAGAAGTTCAGTATTTATTTTCTAAGGCAAATTCCAAAAGTGGGTGGATAAAAGTTTTTAATCTCTCAAAACTCTAAATAAGTCGTTATCTTGGAATTTAGAAATACCTGCCTGGCTTATTGAGCAGTTAAACTATAAATAGATGGTTTTGAATTTCTGTGTTTTTTTTGGAAACTTTACATAACATCGCATGTGTCTTATTTGCCAGTGAGTTTTGAAAAAAATGTGGCTCAGAGTCCTATTTGAGGATTAATATTTGTAGAGTATACTAGAGTGTCATCTTCGTAATATAATCCCGGTCTGGAAGATTCCGTGATCCTTTTTGCCTCTCTCTTTTCTTCTGCCCCTCATTCCTCTCTCCTTCCTCCCATCCTCCCTCCCTCCTTCTCTTTACGTTTGAATTGAACCCAGATTTCTGTGTACTCTGCATCCTTGTACCTCTGTCTGGCCTCTGTTTCTGTCCGTCTCTGGTCCCCCGGCTGAATGGTGGCATCATCTTACTGAGCCATCACGACACACTAGCAATGCATTATTACTTATTGTATCAAATTGTAGCCTAAAATATTTATGCTACAACTGAACGGTGGCATGGGGCTGCTTTAGAAATTCCACTCACATTCTCTTTCCACTTACACATGAAGATTTTATTTCCTCCCGATCACTTTTAGATAGCTTTGTGATGACGAATTTCTCTGTAGAGTGATAGATCTTCCATCATGCTGTCAGACAGGTTCTACCTATGCTTAGCTCTTACTTTTAGGAATTAAAACTGAGAGCCATATGGGAAAGTCCCCACAGACCCAAAGCATAGCTTGATTTCATAAAAGGGGTGGGGGTGGGGTGGGTTAAGTCCAGGAGTAACTCAGGCATGGAGACATTTAATTGGGGGAGTTGTTTTGGATTTTATTTGATCTTTTGTTTGACAGAGACAGTTTCTTACTAAGTAAAAGATGCATAAAAAGCCCCTATGAGTATTAAATTAAAGAGCTGTGTACACTGTGGTTGAAAGGCTTGGTTTCACATGGTGTTTGCAGGGGGTGCACACCATGGAACATAAAAGAAGCTACCGTAACACTTCTCTTTCTAGGATATCTAGGTTATGGGCCATCTAAACGAAGCTGTCATTGGTCACCTATCATGTGCTACTTTTGAACAATGTTCTGTGTAAGTCAGAAGGTTCCTAATTGGGAGTTTTGCTCTTTGAGGAAGAATAAAATCTATATCATGAAACCATTCCCTGAGAACTCACGATGATGTGTGTTCTCACCTTTGGAAAGGGAGGTGCAGCTGGCAGGTGGGAGAGAGATGTGGAGAGCATGTGGGCTTGGCCAGCACGACTGGTGTGCAAAGAAGTGTTTGCTTTGGTCTGGGGGGGGCATCGGGAGCACGTGGTAGCTGCTGCCTGGGATTTGGCATGTCTTTCCTTTGTTTAGGGGGAAGAAACAGCATCTCAGAAGAGAATGGCTGTGAGGGAATACTTAGAAGCAGGCCCCTGGGGACCATTGGCGGAGACGTGGCAGAATGTCCTACCTGACACAGGCCTGAGAGCTGGGTGACCATAGCCCCATCAGTAGCTCTCAGAGGTCTTTCCTTAGTTCTTCAACTTAGTTCTTTCACTTAGCACCAGGTGAGCCCCACAGATCCTTGCACCATGGCCCTGTTCTACGTTGCCGGAAAGGTCCCTGTAGAACATGTCTGGATAGTTCTCACTGCCATTTAGAGTGCAGTGTGACGCAATGTGATTCTGGTGAAGAAGCTGTTGTGGCATTTCCTTATTTAACTGTTTTGTTTTTACATGTGCTTATTTAAGGAGGCCTGTCAGCGCAACTGTGGGGAAGGTCTAGGAACACATACAGGAGCGGGTTCTCTTGTTCCGCCATGCGGGTTCTGGGAACAAACCCAGTTATCAGGCTGGGCAGCGAGCGCCCTTACCTGCGAAGCCATCTTGCTGGCGCAGATACGGCATTTCTCATATCCATGGGTGGGAGAGTTAAACCTATACCCCACTGCTTCTTCAAGTCACTGGGCGCCACTCTGAGAACTTGTGGTTCCAGGCATCAGTCCGCGTCCTCCTTTCAGAAGCATGGAAAGTAGGAGGGACGGTTCAGTCCTTTCCTGAATCTTCTGCCTCATAAAAGTTACACTTCTCTTCTTCTCAAATTCAAGTATAATGAATAATAACTATATCAAAAAGATGAAGACCTGTAATAGAAATTATAACCATTAATAACAAAATATGAGCTATGTTTTTACAGGTTTGAATTGAACACTTACAATCTTCAGGATGGAGTTTTAAGTGCTGAGTGGGCAGCAAAAACCTTTCTCAGAGGAGGCTTGCCTGTGCCTGTGTATGACACAGCCCCCCCCAAGCCCCTTTCCTGCCCATCACAGACATTTTCAGACATACACCATTCCAATCCAAGGAATGGGTGAAGTTCCTGCAGATGAGGGGCTGAAGCATCAGACACAGACCAGAGGAGACAGCTATTTTTGGTAGAATATTCTTTCCCTTCCTGTTATTTGAGAAAATAGTACTAGAAGCAGGCCTTGTCTGCAGGCTTGACAAATATCCCCCTGACACTCAGAGAAGTTTTGATATTTTGTTCATTTATTAATCTATCAGTGAAAAGAACATCATAAGATATTCATTATCCTCGAATATGGAGGGCTGCAACCCCAGACCATCATTTCGTTCTACTTTCTAGGCACCTCATGTTCCCAGGCTTCATTTATTACTTTATAAATAATCTAATTTCTTCCTATTATGTGGCAGTTTCATCTGAGACTCGGGACACAGCCCTACGAAAACTAACAAATCCCTCTCTCTCAAGAACGATACATTCTAGAAAGGAGCCAAAGACAACTTTTTAATGTAAATTGTGTGAGTTGTAACAAATGCTTTTTTCGTAGCTTTGTAGGCTAGCTTGACTTTCAGCGTCTGTGGTTGATGGTCCTGGATGTCCGCACTAGTGGAAGTGATGGACAGAGAGCTTTGGGTCAAAGGATGCTGCTGTAGTTGAGCCTCGTGATGCAATCATATAAACTCAGCTCCATTCCGGGCAGGGCCAGTGAGACCAGGAACTCTCAGCCGACCTGGGCTCTCTACTGAGATCCAGTCTCAAAACAAACCTTGAAACAAAACAAAACAAAACAAAATTTAATCGAAAAGAAAAAAAGTGATGTATAAGAAGAAAATGAGAAGGATTTCTTGGCTTAGTAGATAGTCATATCTGAGGAACCCTCATTTTTGTAATGAGTTAGAGGGATAGAAAGATGGAGTCTCCATGTTAGATTATATATGCATTCCCCGTGTCTATTTCAGTGAGTGGTCATTATTTACTTGGCCCGTGGGCAATACTTAGTGTCTTTCCTGCGGCTCCTACAGAACACGCCCATTCAAAGGCATTACAGTCTTCGTCTTAAAACCCTGTTTTGTGCACATCGACCATAACATTTACTTGCTTTCTTCTGCAGCAAAGTTGTTCCTTCTCAGATGCTCGCCACCTGCTCCTTCTGTTGACACATCCCTTTCTGGCTTTTGCCACAGTACTTCACTGAAACTCTCCTCAGGGTCTGCACTGGCCTCTGCATTGCAGATTTGGAGTTAGTCTCCATCCAAAGACGGGCACTCGCTCAGCTGTGCAGGGTCTCTCTTTCTCAGAAGCATCCAGACTGCGGTGTCCTCCTTTCCTTTTGGGGACTCTCACTCCTTCCATACCCAGCCTTCTAACTCGCATTTCTACCCTAACCTTCACCAAATGGAAGGCTCCCTTATTATGACTCACCTTCCTCCTTGGCAGGCAGAGGCCGAGTAGTTTGGTAATTTGATCAGACTCTTGGACCTTCTCTTCCTCTCTTTTTTTCTTCCCGGAGCTGAGGTCTGTCTCTTATTCATAAAGACACTGCACTCTCCCCGGCAGTAGATCAGCCCCTGGCAGATTGTACTTGCTCTACTTCACGGATTCAAGTAGCCTCTGAAAGGAGAGAGTGGGAGAGGGTTACAGCAAGCGCTTCCAGCCCTGTGTGGACTGCAGCCCTGACAGGCTCCAACTCTGGGTAGAGCCCCTGGAGGTGCTGTTCCAGCTTAGCTTTCCCTCTAGAGGTGAAATTGAAGCTGAGCTGCAGGCTTTGAGGAAGCTCAAAGGGAGGACTGCTGGGGCTCTCGCCATTAAGAGCTGGTGGGGTATTTCCGAGACTCTAGGTTGACCACTGAAATGAGAGGGCATTGCTAAGATACGTTCTGCCCTGGAACAGAGAGAGAAGCAAGGAAAGCTGGGAGCAGTTGAAGAAACTTTGAAGGCAATTTTGGGTTGTGAACTGTTATTTCAGAAATTTGTTATCACACACTAGAATATTGAGAAGGGTCAGCCGTTCACACGGTGACACACTCTCCCGCGGCCTTGGCAGCCCAAAGCCCAGTTGGTTCATAATTTACCCCACCCTACCTGGACACCGAAAGTGGCATCTCAGGGGACACAGCTGAACACTGCTGTTCTTGTGGTAGTATTAATTGTCCTAGGTATAGAAGAAATTCAGCATTGGTGAAACAGTTTCAATAGATGATCAGTTGCTGACATACTTGACTAAGGTGGGGCCTTTGCTTTCTTCACTGCAGGATCTATAGGGACTGGATTGGGGAGGCACTCTGTAAATACCTTCTCAGTTAATTTAGGAATCTTCCATTTATCTATCTGCTCTTGATTTTAAGGCCAGTACATTCCTTATAGAATTGCAGAGGAAGCTGTATGTGGTGTCAAGATGGCCCAGCATGGCTTCCCCTCGGTGCTCCGTCTTTAGCATCCAAGTGATAACTCAGAAGCTGTGGGAGGACGATTGGGAGAAGATGATGAAATGTATGGCAAAAACTCCGCAGAAACTTGATAAGTTCTCCCTTCGATTGTCTTCCAACGAAATAGTGCCGATGTGGAGTGTCGTCTCATCTGGATCCGATTCACCTGGCCATCTGACATCTGTCTTTTGTTTACAGAGAAAAATGAAGGCAATTTGAACTTTGGCTCAGGTCCAGTGCCCTGGAATCGGAGAGAGCAGAACAGGGTGATGGAGGATTAGACGGCAGTCTGTGCATCAAGATTCCAGGCTGATTGTCACCTCGTACTAGCAATGTGGCTTTCGGCCGTGGCTGTCTTAACCTCTCAGTGCTCTGGTTATTCTGTCTGTAAAGTACCATTGCCCTCCAGGATGTCAGGGCGAGAATGCCTGCCTCGAATTTCAAGATTTCAATGTTTATAACCTTTGGTAAACTGAAAAGCTTACATAAGAACATTGCAAATTCTGCATACAAGAATCAAACAGAAAAGATTCTTTATACTTTAAATTTTAAAAAGTGGTACTGATGGCAGGACTTGGAACTTCTTTATTATGTCTGTGTGTCCACTGCCCACAATATTGTATTTCATAAGGACATGCTGATACAGGTATACACTGTGCTTTGTGCAAATTCCCTCCTGCTTTCTCCCGCCATCTTCTCCACCCTTCCCATCCAGTTAGTCACCTTTGCTCCCTAGACAATTTTACCTTTACTCTCCTACCAAACAGACACACATTACTTTATATATTAATATAGATGTTATAAAATCCAAAGGAGAGAAAATGCATACTCTTTGTCTTTTTGAGATTGACTTAAGCACAATGTTTCAAAGAAAGAATAAGGATATAGTTTTCAACATCTTAAAACCAGAGAGATTTCCCCACCCCCTCCTAGTGTGGCACCACGGAGAAGTCACCTTCTGCTGAATCAGCCAAGACAAGAGAGGCCAACGACGAGGCAGCCCATGCTGCGCAGGGGTTTAAATTTGATCTGGATTTGAGATGGCCACATACAAGAAATGGCTTCACTAAAGTCATATTTACATGAAGTCTTGAGATGCACTCTAGATGTCGGAACTAATTCATGTTGACCTTTCACCTGCATCTCCTGAGGACTCGTCAGAGCCGTGGGTGGGGAACACCACTGAGGCAGCCGCTGAAAAGACATGGCCTCTTCTGCCTCATGGTCTGTGTGGCAGAGAACCACGCTCACAGTGGGATGCACACGCCGTTACAACTTTCTCTTAGTTCCAGGGGAGGGCACTGCATAGCCAGCTAGTGAGCTCCTAGTGCAGTGTTTCATCTTCTGTCTGGTTGCCCGTGTGCCTATTAGGAGTCTGGATTGTAGTTATAGGTATTCAGGCATGTGCTAAATTCTCCAGCCCCGCACACATTAGACATGTTGAGTGTTTCGGCAGTCGAGATCCACAGAGGTGATTAATTTGATTGATTCTGAAATGATACGATCCAATGAACAACATATTATTGATACTGCAAGATTATCACATCAGCTAGGACATTGATTTTTTTTTTTTCCTGAGAGCTTTTGGGGAAAAAAAATCTATGGATATAGCATTATTTAATTCTTTGAGGCTTTGTGATGATGTCTGGCCCCATTGGAGATTTAGGTGGCTTTCCCCATCAAATACTAATTTAGAACCTTCTGAGTGCCAGGCCTGAGCAAGTGAGACCTGTGATAGATGGGACTCCCTACCTGTAACTCTTGCTCTGTGCTTTTCTGCATTCCCATGTCTAAATCAAAGAGTTCTCAGGTTCGTAATTCCCCTTATTATGTGCACAAGGGTCACAGAATCAAGGAATACACCGTTCAGAAGGCCGTGGCCAGGCACCCGTGCCTGTGACTAAGATGCACCGGAGCTTTAGCAAAGGGAGGCAGTGTTGATTTTATTTTCTATTGTTCTGACCGTTGCTTTCCCTCCCCCCAAATCTAGCACCTTCCCTGACTAGAGAAATACACACAATTGCTGTATTTGTAAAATTCAGAATAAAATGAGGCAACAAAAAAAATGTTCCCTAGCCTTCTTGCTAGAGATAATTAACTACAGTAGTTGACCTTGCACTGTGACAAATTATAATATGCTTTTTAATCAATAGGTTTTTTTTCCCATTTGAAGTATCTTGAACTCCCTCCCCCCCCAGGATGCTGAGTATTTTCCATCCTGTGTATTTTCATTGATAATCGCAATATTCTTTACTGTGGAGCTAGCAGATTTATTTAGGCAGTCCCTTCCAATTACAGAGTTCTGTCTTATGGTTTCCTAGTCATAAGCAAGGATGGGATGAAGAGCCTTAAAGTAAAACTCGCCTATGTTGATACTGACTTCCCTTGCACTCAGTCCAAGAAATAAGATTGTTAGTCTACATTTCTACAGTTTAAAGGGTACCCTGTGCACATAAGCACACATAGAAGTTTGTTTGTCTCTGCTTTATTGAAATGACTTACCTATTTATTAATGACCCTCCTTGATACTACTTCTACCTTTCTCTCTGAAATTTGTTGCATATTGTAATTTTCAAGTAATCAGATAGTTTTCAACTTTAAAGAAGAAAAAAACAAATATCATAATAATAAAAGCAAAAAAAGAAAAAATTAAAGAAATAACTGAATGTAACTGTTCACTGTCAGGGAAAAAGAGAAGGAAAATAGTATATGTCATGTCACAATCCTTGTGCCCAGACAAAGGCAAATGTATTTCAAATACAGGGCATGGGGTCTTTGTGCCCATATCCCAGGGCACATCAATTGTCTCACTCTATTTTTATTGGCACCGTCTCTGTTCCTGCACACAGCAGCATTTTAAGAGGGAATTGTTTGTTCGGTTAATAACACTCCACTTTCACATTGTTCGCAATTGTTAAGAAAAAATATTCCCATTCGGCATTTTCGCCACATAAATCATGCAGTTGTTGGGGGCTGCACACTCTATTGTTCCCCGAATACACAAAGCTCTTGTGCAAGCCCGCTGGTAAATTGTACCCTGGCTGTCTCCAGCAAGCACTGTTTGGGTTACTTCCAGGTAATTCTACCATAAGTGTTCCAAAATCCAAAGGAAGATTGATGACAAATGGCAGCGAAGGGACCTGCACGCAAATCTATCAAATCACAAAGGAAGGTTTTCTTTTTTTTTTCTATTTTTTTTTAATTTCTCTCTCCTAAGTTTAAAAGCAGAAAGGAATACAGTCTGATCTCGCTGCCCCACTTTCTCTTCCAGCGCTCTGTGGAGGGGCCGAGAACTTCCAGTGTACCAGCGGGCTCTGCATCCCGGAGAAGCTGCGATGTAACGGCTACAACGACTGTAATGACTGGAGCGACGAGGCCCTCTGCAGTATGTGACAGGCTGCGTGGGTTTGTCCGGGTGGGAAGGGATTCCTCTCTTCGGGGGGGCGAGAGGAGGGGGGGCTCGGCGCTTAAAACACCGCAGAGTCAAACGCTAACACCCAGGTGGGTCGCGAGCAGCCTGCCATTGTTTGCCAATCTTAAATCATCCAATAGATTTGCTCCCACCCACCCCAGCCACCATCCTGGGTTTGTACCCGACTCACAGGACCACTGAGCTAGATGCCCAGGATAACAAACAGCTCAGAGATTAAAATGGTTTTCCAAAAATTTGTCCTACGATTGGGAGGAAGGTTTGGGTTTATTTTGTTTGGGCGTGGAATTTTGTTTTTGTTTTTAAAATTTCATGAGTATAATGGTCAACTGTTTTAAGGAGATTTTTTTTTTAAAGAAAACCCTTTTACATTAGTGATTCTAACCTTGAGAATTACACTACACCTTCCATACTCAGAGCAGAGCTGAGCAGTTGTGAGCCAGTTGTTTTAACAGATAGATGATTAATCGCAGTCAGCATGAGCAGAATTGTGTTTCCGTCCCAGGGAGACCTTCCCATCTTTTTGGAAGGAGCTGCTAGCGCTGCCTTGGCTGAGAGTCCTCCGCTCTGTTTGCCGGGTGCCAGCTCCTTGCCCTGTGGCAAGGCCTAGGAGGCTTATCTGCTGGAATTTTGGGCAGGTGGCATATTGTGGTATCAGAGCGCTGTTCGCCAGCATGTGGTTTCACAGTACTTGAGTTCCCAAAGAATGATTGAGTGAGAAACCAAATGATGAGGGCTGGGCCCGTGTCAGCCTCTTCGAGGGTTTCAACACATCTTGATCTATTAAAGCACTGAGAAATGTTGCAACCGAAGTCAGTTTTGCTTGATTCAACATATCTTCAAACTTTTTCTCCTGGGAACTTTCACCCTTATTTATTTGTACATATATTTGTTTTGTATATTACCTAGCGCTTGGTAGAAATTAAGTTATGCTGCGTATATTTTAAAAACTTCCTTTTAGTAAACCATTGATTTGTTTTTACAACATGGAATTTTCAGGAACGCCTATGCACACAAATTAACACGTGAGACATTTTCGTAGGTTATATAGTCACATTGAGGACATCAGCAGAAAATCCTGTGCACAACGACCATGGTGGGGAATTCTGAAAGGCTCAACTGAATTATGTCCATTTTATGGGAATGCAGCAGAATCTCTTTTATCTCCTGCGGTGGCCAGTATTGGGGCCTAACCCAAGGTCAGCCTGCGCCTTTACCCCTGTGGTGGGCCAGAGCTGCTTGCATCATTTTGTTCTCTGTGGTGCTGCGCTTTGATTACACTGTCAACACAGGCATCCCCTCCGGCCGAAGCTTTTAAAGTGGAATTTTAGGGAGTCAGTATTCCTAGTTACCAACTGAATGAGACGGTATTGCTCTTCTGGAAGGTACCTAACCATGTCTAGGGAACAGGTTTTTAAATAAACTGGTCACTGTCTTTCATCATAGTCATACTTCAGAGTGACACAGTCTGGCCCATTGAGAAAATGCAACCCTTTAGCAAATGTCCCTGTGACAACTCACAGTGAGGCATAGATAAATGTTGGCGCACTATCATTCCTGACCATCCGAGGGCACTTGAGCTTTCCACGTATGGAGCATTGCACCACGAACGAGCCTTTGGTGACTGACCCTACTCTCCTGGGGTTACTACCGTGTGGGGAGAACCATGTGTGTCTAAAGGACGGGGTGTGTGCAAATCAGAGTGTCACCACAGCCCCAGGTACTGAGGAGGAGAGAGGCTTGGCTAAACATCCCTGGGAGAAGCAGAAGAAAATACCTAGCTCCATATCCTAGGGCGCAGAGGCCAGACAAGAAAGCAAGCTAAGATGCCCCCTTGTGCCAAACTTGTTTTCTTTTAAAAAGCAGGTTAGGTCATTTGTGTAGGTTGTTAGGTTGCTGTTAAATTCAACAGAAGCAAGGGAAAGGGCCTATCTGTGCTGAATTATCCAGCAGCCATGTCAGACACAGTTACCTGGGCTTTCCTTAGCATGGTTTTCCTGCACTAGCATCCCCACCCCTCGCCCCACCAAAGAATACTGATATACTAGGTCCGGAGGTGACTTTTTTGCATAGTTGCCCAGGTAATCCAATACGTAGCCTTTGTACCAGAGGTAACTCATCTCTTTTGTTGTCCGTGTTCTGTATTCTTTTGACTGAGGGACCATCTCTGAGAACAGTTGAAGCAGGGACTGGATATATTTGGCACACAGCAGGTGATTATAGGTAGGAATTGCTTAAAAGCCCCAAAGAGCTGGAGGGATGGTTTAGCAGTAAAGAGTACTCATGACTCTTGAAGAGACACAGATTTGATCGCCAGCACTTACATGGTGGCTGACAGTCTTTCATTCCTCTGGGTCCAGGGGATGTGGTGGCCGTTTCTGAATTCCAAGGGAACCAAGTATGTACGTGCTGCACAGACACATGTGCAAGCGAACCACTTGTACACAAGAAATAAAATAATCACTTCTAAACCCCAAAACAAGTTTTAAAGAAAACAGTTTCCATCCTTTGGTTGAAAAAGTTCTGCCATCCAACAGTGAACCAGATCTGACCCTGCTGGCTTCCAAGATCAGCTGAGGTTGGGCTTGTTCTCAGAGGTGTGACTCTCTGGTACAAGGAGTCAACCAAACACTTTTGGAACTCTTTACTCTGAACTTGGGGTAAAATTGGTGTACGTATTATTATTTTTTCTTTTGAAGACAGTGGCTACTTAATTGTGAGGAGTGACATACAATATAATGACCAGCTGTGTGCGTGCTGAGCTGGCTGCCCATTTCCCTGTACTTACCACTCCTGTTTCTGTGACCTTGGGCACGGCAGCCCTCGCTCTCTTTGCCTTCATTTCTTCATGAGCAATGTGGAAGACTTTCTCTAGAACTGAATTGTTGGATAGAAACCTATGGAGCCCTGTCACAATGCCCCAGGAATGCTGAGGTTCGAGGGTATGGTGGTGCTTGTCACTATAGTTAGGGCAGTCTCTGCCCTCCATTTTGTTGCTCGTGACTAAGCCAAGTACTCTAGAGAAACAATTTAAACGGAGAAAGAATTTTATTTCTATGGGTGGGGGAGGTTTTGTTTGTGCGTGTTTTGCTTATAGTCTGGGGTGACAGCACGTGTGGTTGGCTGGAGTCTTTCTGGGTCAGAATGCCATGTGGCGCAGTGGCTCCCCTGGTGGTGGCCAAGGAGATAAAAAGGAAGCATGTGCCCATCATCATCACGTCTCTGGTAACCTGTTTTCTAGACACCTTTTTCCTGAGATAAGGACGCATGTAAATACTAGAAATCATTCCATCAGGATAATAAAAGCGCCTCATTTGACATCTAAGAAAAGAGTTTCAAATGTGTGCAAAATTCATTTAGCGTAGCGACTCCGTGAAAAGTACTGACTCAGCGAAACAATTGTGGTTTCTTGAATTTCAGCCATCCGTGAACCACGGTGTAGAAACCCAGTGAGCAGATATGTTACAGGACTTTTAGTCTACTCAGGGGAATAATACACAAACACAGAGAATGCTGAATCTTTTCTTTTTTGTTAATTGCCATTGACGTTTTTCCCCATGTAGAAAACTCATTCTAATGACCATCACCTTCTACCCATCAGCTTCTGTTTTCCTACCAGTCTCCTTTGCACACTATTGACTTTTTGCTTCGTTTTGTTACCTACTGAGTTTATCTGGTACCGTCTGTGTGACCATTGGTATTTACCGTGTGTGAGAACAAACTGCAAGACATACAACGAAATCCACTTAAAGAGTTTTTATTAATAAAGAGTAGAGAAGGAAAAGGAAAGGGTGCACAGGTCTGAAAGAAACATGGAAAAATAGAGAGAGAGAGAGAGAGAGAGAGAGAGAGAGAGAGAGAGGACAAGAGAGAGAAGGAGAAAGAGAGAGAAAGAGGTGGGCGTGTACGCTTTTAAAGGTAGCTCAGCACATGCGTACAGGGGCTTAGGTAGCCACGCCACGAATGCCTATAGATTAGTAGATTACCTAGCCACACTGCCACGAGCCACATGCACATAGATTATGGAGGGAATGCTGAAGACGCATGCACAGTCGTGGCTTACCCCCTCCCGCCATGCTAACACCTGGACCTGGGGTAACTAAGCAGTTTGCTCGAATGCTAATGGGTGCAGGCTGTGATGGAAATGCTAACAGCCATGGATTTGGAACCATCAAACAGAGTTTGGTGAGGTCACCATTGGGAACACCATTGAAGACAGTGACTTTCACTCTTCAGAACCTTTTCAGTCGTCAATTTTCTGTCAGGGAGAGGTGGAACCCTATGATCCCCTCCTCATTCAGAGCTGATTGGCGACAGGCCTCACATAGGCAGTTGCTGCCAAGTTCAAGACAGCAGTTGTTGCATCATGCCCAGATGCAAGATCGACTTCTCAGGTACCATTGAACCTCAGTGATTAAATCAGATACAAAATATGACATTTCAAATGCGTTTCTGAAAGCACAAATACAAGAAATGTCATAAAACCAAACAAGGTGGTAGACAGGCAGCGACACAAGATCCTATTATCGGGAAACAGGGCCACCATGAACTGGGCTGTGCAGAGAGGCCGGTGGGAAAGGGAGGCTTTAAGCTAGGCCTGTACCCCGTGTTTATGTGCTAGGACAATGATTCTCAACCCTGGAGATGTCATTTTGCAACGTGCGGGGACATTTCTCACTGCTACAACTGTGAGCGCTAGCGTCTAGTGGTTTTCAATCAAGAATGCTGCTAAACATCCGTTCCCATGCATCAGTGAATTACTCCAAGATGCTAGTAGTACGGCAGGTGAGAGCCCTCCTCTGGAGGTAGAGAGCAGTAGAAACAAAAATCCAGGTATTCACAAGGCCAGCCTCTTACAAGTCTGTTGAGAGAGGAGGCAGTGCCTGCCAAGTCTCTTAACCTCTCCGGTCATCTCACAGTGCGAAGGTTGCACGAAATGACCTTTGCTTACTAATTCTGTAGAAGGAAACTAAGCTGTCCTGCTTGCTTCTTGAATAGAGGCAAAGCAGCTTGTGTTTATGGAGTGGGAGACTGGGCAGACGGAAGGAAGTCCTGAATAAAAGGTCTTTCTGTGTCTTGGCATTCGGCTTTAATGTAATGGTAATTTTGAGGGACAAAGGTTAATAGTATACTTCTCAGATGCCAAACTGAAGTAAATATTTACATGGGAAAACTTCAGAAGAAACATTTTTCCATCAAGTTTTCTGGGAGAGAGAGAGAGAGGGAGAGAAAGAGAGAGAGAGGGAGAGGGAGAGGGGAAGGGAGAGAGAGAAAGAGAGAGAGAGAGAGAGGGAGAGAGAGAGAGAGAGAGCTGGAAGGGAAAAAAAGCAAAAACAAACCAAACAAAAACAAAAATCTAACTTAGGTCCAGGCAAAAATTATGCTTGAACTGAGCAAGAAAATCACAGCAAGCACCTTTTGAAAATTATGATTTGTTGGCCCCAAATTGCGCTGACCACATCTCTTTTCAGTGCAAATAAACATTTACTCCAATAAAAGGAGCCACTATGATCTTTGCTGTTTGCTGTAGGCTCCTGGCTGCATGGTATTCTTGGTTAGGGTTTCAAGTGTTTACCGATCTGAGGGGCGGTGTGGAAGTCACAGGCTGTTTTCTAAGCGCAGAGAATTTGGTATCTAACTTCTGAGAGGATCTCGTCACTGAGGAGGCGCCCATGGAAGTTGCATTAATTCTTTAAACAAATACCATTTATGTGGTAGTTCAGCAAATGACAGTGCTAATCTTAAAAACTTCTCTGCAGAGGTGTTTTGGTATAGATTACCAAAGATTCAGAGCAGGCTTCCCAGAAGACACAGAAACTTCTGGAAATTTCTGGTGTGTTCTTGGTTAATCAAATGCTAAATGGAGTATTTAATTCCCTAGTGCTCCTACCATCAGAAAAAGTAAAGCACACTGCTTGAGAAGAATGTTATTCATGGTTTCCAACCTTCCCCTCTCCTCTCTGGGAGATGCATGGACTCTTACACTCATGGCTAAGTTGAGCAGACTATTTTCCGGGTTAATGCTTGGTCTACCAAATTAATTCAAGACTTCCTAAAAATAATTCAATTTAAACAAAACGAAAATGAAAAGACCTTTTAAGCACTCTCAAAAAACTACACATTTCTGAATGTCCACTCCCTTCTCTGCCCTGTGGATATCAAAAGCAAGCAAGGCCATGACCTTCCTGGGCCAGCTGTCAATCACATGCAGCAGAAGGGTGCAGCATGGGAAGACAGTTCCCTCTGTCGCATAGAAGGAAGCAGGACTGTCAATATGAAGACTAACACCTCTTCTTGTTCTTATATTTTCCTTTATTATTCCACCCTTGCTTGAAAATTATTCAGGTTGGGAGAAATAAAAAAATAAAAAGTGCTTAAATTTTTCTGTATACATGTAAGTGTGTAATATATAGTATGTATATATGTATATGTATATATAATTTTTTCTTAATGAAATCACTGCAGAGGATCTACAAGGCTCATGCCATTCTTAAGATGAGGTGATTCTAGAAGTTGAGATAGTTTCTCACAGAAGAAATTTTTCTGAAATAGATGTGTACGAACTGTTTAACTGATCTATGGCAAAAAAAAACCCTCTCATTTTAAATTGGCACAGCAATTGTATATACTTACTGAGTATGATGTGATAACTCAATAATGTATACACTATATAATGATCAAATGCCTCCGTATTTGGTATCACTTCCTTATGCTTACTCTTTAGTCTCTCTTAAGATTATCAGAGACTATGGCCACTCTACTGGGCTTTAGGACGCTAGAACTTGGGGGAGGCTGGAAAACAGGTGCAAAGACTCTGTTAATAATTGCTGTTGAGCTTAGCCTGTGATGCTGAAGGTCTGCTTACCATGTTAAGTAAAAGTCAGATAAAAACTTCTGGAAAGCGATAAGAGACCTTAACTTGGGAATCAGTGTCTTGGTCCTGGTTCTTCAGTGACTCTGCCAGCCATTGGGTGTCTCTAACTCCGTACGTATAAGACAATAAATAGCCAGGGGTCAGGTCTGCAGCGAGGTTTCCCTCTCATCCTAGCCTTTGTCTAGCTAGACACTAGTGCAGCGCGCTGCTCCGATGGCACACCTGTCCCTTTCCTTGTCCGCAGACTGCACCGAGGACCTGTTTCACTGCCACACGGGCAAGTGCCTCAGTCACAGCCTCGTCTGTGATGGGTACGACGACTGTGGGGATCTGAGCGATGAGCAAAACTGTGGTAAGTGCATGGCTCCCTCAAAGGACTGTCCTAGAAACCACAGGCACTTGTGACCGAGAACACATATCTGTCTGTTCACTGTCTGACTAGAAGGTTGCAAAACAAAGCAAAGCAAACCAACCAACTTCCCTGTTCAGAAGGAACAGTGTGAACACGGGGCTCAGTTGTGTCTTCTGCATCTGCACCCTGCTTCTTAACTAACCGCCACACTAAGGGACTGTTAGGGACATAGAGAGGAAAGACGGCGGGATTGTTACAGTGCTAGTATATCCCCGTGTTTTGTTCTGTTTAGCCTCTGGCTACAGCAGGCTTATGTTTGGATTTTGCGCTCCTGAGCAAAACTTTGCTGAGAGATATATTATAAAGTGTAACATGTGGCCAAGGCTCCCATCCCCCACAGCATATGACTTTAGCGACTCTGTGCATGGTGTATTCAACAAGGGTTGGATGCCAGATTGGTTTTATGTGCAGATGCTGCTGAGTTTTTGTTTTTCCAAACATAAACCTTCCTTTGAAGGCACATATTAATTCTGCATCATGTCTTTGGAATCTAAACCAGCAAAATATCTCTCGGTTACTGATCTTTATATATCTTGTGATTTTATATATCTTGTGATTAGCTTTACATGTTTATGCAATATATTATTGAGAGTAGGAAATTT